GAGGAGGAGGAGGAGGAGGTTGAAACTGCCCTTAATGTGTTTTCGAGGTTTAGTGCCATTTAAAGTCCTTGCAGAAAATAGGGAGGCTTGTATTTTATTGAGCCCTGCCTTAATTCATCCCACTTGAAATAAACAATGGTACAGCTGTGAAATTGACTTTGAACCGAGCTCAGCTGATTTAGAGATTTCGTGACAGAGTGAACTACTGTACATATGGTAAAGCATTTGTTTTGACATGTTTTATGGTACAAAGTTAAAAAAGGAAGGGACACGGAGAGTATACAGCAAGATTAAAGACTGTAGATTCTGGTTTAAATAATATTGTACTTTAGACTCAGTGTATAAAAGTAAACTGGGGACATTTTTAATCTTCCAAAGCCAGAGTACTGTCAGTAGTGTTTGAATGTGCTGAGAAATTAAAAAAGTGTCTACTGCTGAGGCGGAAAGTAAGCAGCTGTATTTAAGTAAAGATTTGAGGTACTTGTACTTTCCACTCTGTAAGACTTTTTACTATGCCATTGGTTCTCTTTTTAGTGCTCAAAATATTGTACTAAGAAGTGATATTCTGTGTTCAAATAAAAGTGAAACTAGAATGGGTTTGACACCAGAGACTGCAGTTCCCTAATCTAAAACTAATTTTGTTTTGCATCTATAGATAATTTAATACTTGAAAAGGGTCATTTTTCATGATTATACTCATACTGGGATACTAAGAACAGTTGCTGCCACTCTGTACTTTTAAGACTTTTACTTAATGTGTAATTAGACAGTGGAACTTTGGGCGCATATGCCTAAGACGTCCCTTCTTTTTAATAAAAATACATAAATTGGATGTAATGATTCCCATAGGTAGACATGCCTGTGCTTGTTAGGCCTATTCACTATACCTATGTCTTGTAATTACATTGTGGACCCAAAAAAATACATCGTGATTGCACTAGATGTCCACCAGGATTGTTTCATTTGTCTACAAACCAAAACCTGTGCCATCAGACAGACGCAATAATCACATAACAATTATACAAATAGTATAGTAGATAGTAGATACTAAGTAGATAGAATACTACCAATACTAGTGTGCTGACGTCTAAGTTTGCTTTTCTTCTGACAGAACGCACTTTTGAAGACCACGAGAACCTTGTGGATCCTCTCTTAGCATGGACGAGAGACAGCGAGAACAAAATCCTCTTTCAAGAGCGAGGAGAAAAGAATGAGGTTTTCAAAAACCCACAGGTTGGTCCCCTCGTTGTATACAACTTTATATTCTTCTCTGAACATGTAGCTACTGAGTGATCAGAGGTGAGGTGATATCTAAAAGTCCAACAGCGGCTAGTTCATTATTTTTGGCCTTGATTTGTGCAAATCTATCTCCACATTGTTTCAGCTCAGCGCCATCTGGCTATTTTCACCGTTGTATCATTGAATTATGAGATGTCTTTCCTCCATGTAGGATGACCTCTTACATTTATGTCCTCACTGTAATATATCAGACAAAACAGCTTCAGGCAAAAGACATCGAGATCTTGGCATGTTTGTTGATATAATGGGAACCCTTTATAATCTCTGAGTGTTTAATGGATTCGGTCTGTTGGCAGAGACAAATAACCGGGCTGGAAAAAACCGGTGAGATATTCTCATTTTTAAACTGCTCCATCATGTCTTCCACTTCCCCCAACAAAAGACAGATCTGTTTTATACAGTACGTCCTGATCAATTTACAGTTTTAACTTTTGACAAGAGCTACCAAAATAGAATTCCCCTTTGGGCTTTCTCTCACCGCAATGAAAACATCGGCCCAGACTATGAAATGAACTAACCCAGTCACACAGGGACAAAGTGCAGGGTTCAAGCATTTTTGAAAGCTGATAATAATTCATTCTTTTCTGCTCAGGATGCTGATAACCAATGTTTTGTTCTGATATTTAATGTATGAAATATGTCTGAAGAATTAGGGGTTAAAAAAGTTAATTAAGTGTTGTTGATGCATTGTGATCTTACATTAATCATTAATGCACTTTATTTTCTAATTCCTGCAGAACTTTTATCTATGGAAGAAGGATAAGAAAGCTCTCAAAGACATAAAAGAGAAAGACAAGGAGTTATTAATACAGGTAAAATATGCACACACACACACACACAAAACATTAGTAAAATATTTTCTTTAGTAACAGTTTTTCCCAGTGGGAGCTCCTCTCAGTGACCCCTTTCATCCCTTCTTCACCTCTGCAGGAGAACTTTTGCGGGACTTCCATCATCGTGCCTGATCTTGAGGCGGTGCTGTACCTCAAAGAAGATGGCAAGAAGTCCTGGAAACAGCGGCTCTTCCAGCTGAGGGCCTCTGGAATTTATTACGTACCCAAAGGGAAGACCAAGGTCAGGGGTCAAAAGGGGACATCGTTTTGTGGCAAAGACCAGACTATAAACACAAATCCAACAGCTAATGCTCTAATCAAGGATACATTCAGTTGGGCTCAAACAAGACAAACAGCAGTGGTGAAGGATCAAAATCCAGCAGATACAGATGCTGAAATCTAATGTCTGAAACCTTGAGAAATATATGGTTGATGTTTTTAATTTTTCACTGGCAATACAAAGCCCTAGTGTGTAGTCCTTCTGCTTTATGAACCACACTCTTGTTTTATGCAACACTGAATGTAACTACTCCTACTTTTACTCCCTGCTGAATACCTACAGTATATTCCCCTACTGTATATCTTACAGGAGGTCTTACTCCCAAACATACCATTCATACAGGGCATAATGCCTCTACTATTGCATGTAAGATAAATGGCAAAAACACTACAGATCAACTATCAACTAATATAATCCCTTATTTCTTTTCAGTCGTCCCGTGACCTTGTCTGCTTTGTCCAGTTTGACAATTTAAATGTCTACTATGGCAAAGACTTTAAGAGCAAATACAAGGCCCCAACGGACTTCTGCTTTGTCCTGAAGGTAAGTTAGCTTACAATGTGTTGTTTTGTCAATCTAGTTTGCCTCATACACCCTTTTACAGTGGAATTGACCAACAGAGAAGCTGCAACTTCCCCTAAATGTGATGCTACAGAAAATAAAGAGCCTGTTTTACTAGTTGGTGTTAAAAGGCACCACACATTACATTGCATAGTGTAAGAGATGCACAGTTGGTGGTTGCTTGGGGGCTTCTGAGTGCTTTCTGTGCTACACAGCTGCTTGCTTTACTGGAAATGTAAAATGCAATAAATAGTTTAATTTCAAGAAGTGAAAGGAGAAGGTTTATCCATTTTAGCTGAAAGTGGTGAGTAAGTGAACAAGATAATTTTTCAAACTGTTTTTAATATTTCTTCACCATGCATTTAATTAAAAGAGTACTCTTAAATTGAGAATATTAACAGTAATGGGAGGTACCTACAGTACTCATTTAAGAGCAAGAAATGCTGACTGAGGTGATAAAAAGCAAGAATTAGATGGGTTGATGGTCAGTCTTAAAGGGAAGTGAAAGTTTGCGTTCTTTCCTTTCCCCTATCTTGTCTGGGAAATACTAGAATCAGCAGATACCATTACACTAGTTGTTGAGGATCAAAGTAAAAAGAGCTTAGAGAGGCAAAGAAACTGAATTAACCACCAGTGGAAGACAGAGTCCTCAAGGTTTGAGCTGAAGGGAGGAGACTTTAAGATACTGCAAGCCAAGGGCAAAAGGAAAATGACCTGTCAGAGTGGACATGTTGGAAGGCTAGCCAGGTTTTGCATGGTATCTGTCCTTGTTTAAGAATCATGCAGTGAAACATGTTAAAGCCGCTTCAGCTGTGGTAGATTGTATGAACTGATGCTGCTTTTGACTGTCGCAGTGTTTAATTAGGGTGTGTTTTGACACATTGGTTGGGTGGTGTTTAGGGGCTGCCAAACACTGCAGCAATTTAAATACTAGAGCAAAACAATTTAGCTTCATGATTTAGCTGTTATATATTCAGAGTGGATGCCTGAGGTGATCACTAATACTATCTTCATTGTCTAGAACTGATACCATGACATTCTGTGGAAAGTCAACTTCCTCCTCAGGCGGAAACAATTGATTGTGGGATTAATGTTAAACCCATTCAATATACAGCAAATATTTTTGCAATCAGTACGAGGGTGTACTTACTGACATCCAATCCAACAACTAAGACCATTAAAGCATCAAAACATCTCATATTTCCTAAATTACACTGGATTTCAGGGTGCACTCAGTGGCACACATTAGACTATTTCCCTGGTTTCTAATTTGTCTGTTTATGTTTTGAAATGCTGACTGGACTATTCCCATTTAACTGGTGTTCCCTGTTAACAGTCTAGGCTCCTTCTGCCCCCATGTGGTATCCTTAAAGGTGTCTCCACTCATTTTACACATCAAAGTCTGTTTACAGGTCCTGATGTGTACTTCTACACGTGTAAAAAAAAAAAAA